TTGCGTCTGCCAACTGCTTCCTCAAGGTACGTGAGCCATTTTAATTGCTGTGAAGAGTTGAAGTTGGCGTCGGGATTGTATGAACCACTAGTTGTTATTAACTATAGTTCACTCTGCAGCTTACAAAATAGGGTGGGCGCTGCAATCTGTTATGAAAAGTGAGTAATTCTTTTGATAATAGGTACTTTTTTTGAGAAAATGAAACTGAAATCTTAAGTATTGTTTGTGATGTTGTATTCATGGTTCAATTGTTAAAAAAAATGGTACGTTATTTTTTTTAGACGTTCTTGACAAAATGCAACCAATACAAGCCTGCCAAATATTATCCGTCACACACGTTATCTGTGACAGATAGTAGTTGGATACCTTTGACTTTACCTTGAGTATTTGTTTTTAATTTGTTTTACGAACTAGTAAGATGATAGTCCCGTCATGCAATGACGTCACACTGAGCGTGACACCATTATGTCTCAGGGGCTACTGTCAAGTAGGGCTATGTCTATAAATCCGTAAAATCACGAAGTTCTGAAGACTTTTCGGATGTATACCTTGTTTGATTCACAGGTTACCCTCATACAGGAAAACCTCACACAGGGAAACCTCACACAGGGAAACCTCACACAGGGAAACCTCACACAGGGAAACCTCACACAGGGAAGCCTCACACAGGAAAACCTCACACAGGAAAACCTTACACTACAGACATTGGTAGGTTGTTTTCATTGAAAAATAGGAACATCAATATATATTTTTTGGATGACTTAAGAGTATCATTTCATGTTCCAATTCACGTTGTGTTCCAAATTCCCCACTCCGCTCAAGTTAGGAGCAGATCACTGAATCCCTGCTGTTGAGCACATGGGGTGGGGAGGGGGGAGGGGACAGGAGGAGGGGGAGGGGAACCTGGATGAAACAAGCTTCAACGGCAACTTCCTTGCAACTTCAATTTAGGCCCAGATCCACTTTAACCAACCGCACTTTGCTGCAGTGAGAATGTCATCTCTGTAAAGCAATGTAGCAAATCCTTTCGCAAACAACAACAAAAAGGAAGGAAATGGCACTCAACAAATGCTTTGATAATTTTTCTTCATTTCCAGGAGAGCCAGGCACCCCAGAGCCGAGAACCGGAGGTGAGATTTCAAAACAATATCAACACAAATATTCGGTAGAAGAAATATTTTAACGATTGTATTGAGCTTTTTTGTGTTATATAAAGTTAGGGATAAAATGAGGTCTTTTCAGTTTTTACAGCAGAGATTTGTTAAGAGGTGGGAGGATAAGTCTTCTGAAATTGTGTGATTCAATTTCATCTAAACCCCCCCCCCAAAAAAAAAAAAAGCGAAGTCATATTAGACTATGAAAATAACTCAAACCTTAGCCAAGCGCAACTGAAAATCGGTGAAAATTATAACCGGATCATTTTACAGTGAATGAAAATCTTTAAAATAGCGAAAACGATTGCCATTCAACTGCGGGATAGCAGCTCAACAAAATCATCATGTCTCGTCGTTAGTCCGTTGGTTAGTAACAATCGTTCACACTGCCTATTGCTCATATACTTGGACCGTTTTCAACCAAACTTTGGCAAAAGTATCAGTAGCCCAGCCCCATCATGTCACGCGACAAAACTGGGGTAACAGGTCATCATGAGGTCATTCGGATCATCAACCTGACTTTTTAAAACTCAAAACACTTCCAGAAATTACAAGGCACAATCACGTGACTCATGCATGAACACGAAAACGTCGGCCGGCAGCTTCCGAGATAATTCCGATCGCGTTTGTTTTTGTAGGGGCTACATTTCCGTATTTTCTTTCGTTCAAGAACTAGAAAAAAAATCAGTTACCATGTATAAGAGTATAGTTGGTTGTGATTTTAATTAACTTTTTTTTTGCAATTTGTACAATTTTGTGACAGGTTTGTCGACTGGTGCTGTCGTTGGTATCGTGTTTGGCATCCTTATTGCTATTGCCATCGTCCTTGTCGCTGTGTACTTTGTCTTGGCCCATCGGCGGGGCAAAGGCAACCTGATGGAGGACCGTATGATCACGTCCACGACTGGCTTCGAAAACGCAACTTACTTCTCCAACATGGAGGCCGAGAATAAAAGTGACATTTGAATGGTTTTTGGTGAAATTGTCCCAAACCCAATTTTATTTCCGTCAATAGTTCTTATTTGAGTTCAGAAACGTTGACAGTTTCATTCAGTCTAGTGACTAATGCAATGGATTACTGAGCACTGGGAATGTGACTTACCATGTTACAGTAATTAGAAATTATCAACAGTGGTCATGATTTATCTTTTGTTAGAGGGGAGATGAGTGAAATTTGCAGACAAACATCAGACAAAAATAATGTTGAGTAAAAGGTTTTTTTGTTGTTTGGGGAGAGGAGTGTAACTGTAAGTCCTTATTTAGGGCATACATCTCGGCCCAATTTCTTGGCTATGCTTACCGTTAGTGAAAAATCCCTGTTTACTATAGCAGAAAATTCCGTGATTACGGCAAGCGTATTTCACGGGTTAGCGAGGACTTTTAGCTTCTGCACATGCGTTGCGTACATCCCGTAGCATTCTGTGCTTACAGGGTTAGCACAGAATTTTTCTGCTTGCGCTGTTAGCGCAGAATGCTGATCGCATAAGCTCGGAATTCTGTGGTTAGCAGAGCCATGAAATTGGGCCCTGATCTCAAAGAAAACTGCTATTCATAATTATGTTTTTCTATCTTCAGAAAACTTCGTGTTTTGCTTAGTAAGACAATATTAATTTGCGCTGTTACGAAACCACTGTAGTGAAAATATGCTAATATTGCAGAGTTAGGTAGGACTTTAAATTTCATGTTTTCTGATCATCTTTCAAGTCTTTAATTGAATTGCAATATTGTCAGAACCGTGTCGTTATATTTTATTTTTTGTCTTCCCTGGATCACACAAGTCTGTGTTTTTTTAAAAATAATTTGTGAACATCCATAGCTGAATACTAATGTAAAGCAGTCTTTGAGGCTGACAATTCACAATAACTAGATTCTAGAAAAGCATGAAGTGCAAAAAGAAAGCGTTTTTATTTCTTGCAATTTGTATCATCTTTATAGTTTTACTTAAGTGTTTTTTTATCTGAGAGGTTATGTAGAGTATTGCTTGTGTGCTGTGGCTTAGTATAAATGTTTATTTATAAATGATTCAGTGATTTATATGTTATAAATGACTTGAAGCTTTTCATGGCGGATGATATAAATTACAAAGTTTGCGGGTAACACCATGTGGAAAGATACCTCTTCTTGGAAGAAGTGTGGTTCTAAAAACCACGTCGAGTTCTACACTCATCCAACCGGTTCTTTTGAGAACCGCACATCTTCCAAGAAGAGATATCTTACCACATGGTGTTACCCGCAAACTTAAAAAAATATTGAATTATATGTTGTTGTTTTTTTAATTCTGTGGAGCATAAGAACTTTTTTGATTGATGACTTTTTGAAATAACAATGCATAAGTCTATTGCAAATGATTTGAAAACGAGCACAATTCACACAAAAAATCAGAAGTTTAAATTAATGTTGACTCGTTTGCTTGCAGAAGTAACGTGCCTGCAAAATGGTTAGTTTTTCTAACCCGACCAAAAAAAACAACAACGAAACCAAAAATAACCCACAACATGTCACAAAAGAGGTAGTCAGTAAGAATCACTTAGTATCACTATTATGCTAAAGATGTTACTTTTTATAGCTAAATTAATCTTTTTATCCATGTGGAGTTCAATACTATGTGAAGAATTCTTGATGCAATCATTTAAATACGCGGTGGCGTTTTTCCGTCATTGAACATGTGAACCCACAATATTGTCACATTCATTATGGACTGTAAACTCATGCGTCTTTTTTTAAATACAAATGCAACAAATTTTACTTAATATTTGAAGTACACCTGTTTTCGATGTCTTTACATTTAATGATTGTCATTTGATGAGAAGAGAGTTGATTTAGGGTAAAGAGTGATGGGAACAAGTTCACATTCACAAACTTGTATGGACAAGAATCAATAAATTAGAGTCAATCTTAAATTGTTATATTTTGTCTGTAAGTTCATTGGCCTTGAGCGATCACGTGTCAAGTTTATAAAAACTACATTTGCGGCACCAAAATATCGCTTTAGCACATCTTTGCGCCATAAGCGCCACAGCGGCACATGTCGCACAGTGAAGGGAGTGGTCACGCCCCTTGAGGTTGCATAGGAGTATTTCATGACAAAGGTTGCATTGCGACGATTTTAATTCATTCCTTGCACTTGTACCTGCAGTGTAATTTGCACATTTCATGTTTCCCATTTATTTTGGCATGACATAGGGTGTAACAAGTTATTGGCTGTTGGGACGGTGGGAACTGTCTCCTTGATTGTTGTGTGTACAAACACCATGTCCCATATCACAGCAGTCCGAGTGTGCTATGACTTTGTCAGTTAATTGAAGCTTTTGAAAGTTGTGGGCAAGTTCTCTGATTATTCTCTCAAGCGGTTTTGACTTCAGCATTGTGCAATGTTGCAGTGTAGAAAATCTGCCATGTATCTTGTTTGCTTAGAGTGAATGCAGTATATCCAAGTGGTGCACGGGTTCGGTCAATGCGTAGGCCTACAGCGGCTTGGCTTGCAACCTGTTTGTCCCTCGAGATGGGGAGATGTTGAAGGGGTGAAACATCACGTGTTGTTTTAAAATTAGACTTTTTTCCGACGCTCTGTTGGTCCTTGCCAGATTATATCTTCTCCGACAGTTATAATACCTGTGATAAATGATTTTGTTCACCTGGGGATATTCATTAAATACATCAACACTCTTGATATACTAGCAAATGTCGTGTGACTCGTATGTTTCATCACTCCAAACGACTTGGTAATCAACCTATGCGTGTTTTCCTTCCTCGTAAGTACGAGGTCGCCAATCCTCCATGCCCTATTAGTCACATGGAATCATTTTGGAATGCCAAGAAACTTCCATTTGGTCTTTGCAGTCTATCAGAAACTTTGCGGAATCATTCTTCATTTCTTCACAAGAACTTCATCGAACAACGCAGGCTTACTGTAACGAGGGGTAAATAATTATGGCACTGAATAGCAACTTTGTGGTGGTGTTGGTGTTTTCGGTGTTGTACCGTAAGTATTGTTCGTTATCTTCTTGTGAATATTTTAGGAAGTCATTGATTATGTGACTGCGGTGAGACATCGTTAAAATGAACGTGTATATTTTATTCCTGATGATTTGGGGTTTTTTTTTCGGAAAGAAAAAACACCTTTTTTTCTCCTTCCTCGAATCAAAAAGCACTTGCCACTGAAACGAAATTGAATAAAAACGCTAACAAACTATAAGCCATTAAATGAACTCTTGCTCTGCATTACTCTTGATATGACGACATTGGCTTGATCTTCATTCAGTTTCGACGAAAATGATGGATTTGAAAGGCCATGGAACTTATTCATCACGCGAATGCTCAGGTATCAAAATGGAAGGACTCTTTATAACGATTGAATGCTGATGTGGCAGGCATTCGTTCTTTATTAAAAAGGTATTATTTTTTTGGTGGATAAAGTTACATTCCTTCTTTCTTTAGAGCTGTGCTTCGCCCATCCCATCAGCGAAGAAGATCCTCCAATCAGCGAGACAGCCAAACTGCTTACGATTGGTGCCAGGGTGGTACGTGGACCAGATTGGAAATGGGGAGATCAGGTACAAATCCAAAGGTTCATCATTTTCCAGTTGTAAAGCTATCTTCGTTATCCAGTCTATAGTGGTAAAGAGAGTCCCACAAATTGAAATAAAGTTTGAAAAGCTACGCGTATGTATGTAAATTTCGAATATTAGGTTTTTTTTCGCTGGGACGGTACTCCACAGAGTGAACGCCGGACCAATGTTGAAAACAATGGCTGTGTCGAGGTGAAGCGGGTTAAACAGGCAACACGAACAGTTGCCGAATGGGGAAAGGAATAAAAAAATACGTTGCCTTCTCGGAACCTGTGTGTATATGAGGAAATCTGCGCCCGTTGCCAACAGCACAACCGGGCTCCGTTGTACGTTGCAACGGATTACTCTAATGGTAGAATGAATGGTTAGAAACTGCTTTGAACATTTTAAATAGTACTCGTGTATTAATGGTCGGTTAACTTCGTGTTTTTTTGGAACTACGCATGCATTATGTTGTGCGTATGAAGGTATCCTGCTGACTCAAATCACAAATCTCTTTGTGTTAGGACGGTAATCCGCCTGGGGAGGGTAGTGTCGACGGCCCATACAGTACTCCCGGTTGGTACTGGGTACAATGGGACGCGGGGAAAAGACACACTTACCGAATAGGAGCAGAGGGAAAGTACGACCTGAAGCTTGTTGACGCTGCGTCTCTAGACGGATCAGTTCGGTTGGCAAATGGCGATGACGAACTCAGCGGTCAGGTGGAAATCAATCACGACGGGACCTGGGGAACAGTCTGTGACGTCAACTGGGACATCCAGGATGCCATGGTCGTCTGTCGTCAGCTCGGCAACTTCTTAGAAGCAGTGGAGATCAAGACGGGATCGTTCTACGGAGAGAGCGAGCGACCGATCGTGATGAACCGTGTGGCGTGTCGAGGGACGGAGAGTCGGTTGGCTGACTGCCCGTTTGTCTGTACCAGCTCTCGTCCCTGTAATACCTCACAAGTGGCCGGGGTGGTTTGCCGACTACCAAAACTCAGTAAGAAAGACTGTCATCTCTCGTTACTTTTAATTTAATAGTATTGCACAATAAAGCTTATCCAGGTAACAAGTTGTCTTAATATAACACCTGAATAATTTCACTTGTCATTACAATAATTATTTTCGGCAGTAGTTCGTCATGTTTACGAAATATAATATAGACCTACTTTTTATATCAACACAGATATCAAACCGTCAACTGAATATCAAGAGTTTTGTATTAATCATCTCCCAAATGTACATTCATTACTAATATTCCTCAGTTTCTCAATTTGAACATAATTTCTTTAACATGAGTTGCCATAATAATGATGCTTTCTGACTCAACGCGTAAATTTAAAATTCATTCGATTAATCTGTACTGCTTTTTTGCTAAATAATGTAGTCGTTTACACTTTTAAAGAAAATCTTAATTTGTTTACCAGATACGGTTCGGTTGGTTGGAGACGGTTCGGATCCCGCCAGCGGACGCGTAGAGATCTACCGTAATGCAACCTGGGGGACAATTTGCGACATTGATTGGGACATGGATGACGTCCAGGTTGTCTGTCGTCAGCTGGGATTCTCCGGGGCTGTGGAAGCCAAGTCTGGGGCCCATTTCGGCCAGGGGGAGGGGCCAATCCACATGGAGGGAGTGGCCTGTGATGGGTCTGAGAGTCAACTGGCTGACTGCCCGTCTCATTGCTGGCAGAAATCGGCATGTAGCCACGCCCAAGATGCTGGCGCCATCTGTCGTCAGGATGAATAAGCCGTGAAAGTTTACTCAAGAAAGTTGCGGTTATTATGGTTTTGTTTTTAGTTTGACGCTATATCATAGCTTGTAGCAGTATGTATTCTTAGAGGTAGTGCATGTATAAACCGAACTACAAACACTCCATGACAGAACAAGGTGTTGAAAAGATACATGCATTTAGCTTGTTGAATATATTCGAGGACAGTTATGGCAAGTTAAGTTTGTGTTGGTTCTGAGAAGAACCGGTTTAGACTCAACGTTGCGGAAATTATACTCTTTCCCTTTGTTATGCCAAGTTGCGCTATATACATTCTTTCTTTAAACGCGTTCTTGCTATCAGCTAGAAAACATAGTTTTAACTATTTTTAACATAGTTTTAACTAAGTTTAGTATTTAAAAATATTAAACATATTGCAATACTAAACATGTTTAGAGTATTAATGAATAGTGTTTAGCAATTGAACATCGATGTTTAGGAATTGGACATGTACTGTTTAGCTGCTAAACATTTGTTTACAAAGTCACAGCAATATTCTGTTTTATTGCTATAAACACAATGTTTAGAGCGTACTCCACTAAGTAGTTATTAAAAGTTAAAAGATGTCTTACATTCTCCCTTTTTTGTTAGAAAAAAATTCGTTCCCCAAATGTTGTACCCGGAAACCTGTCCCCTCCCTATTCGGGTGCCGGTAGCTGATACAATTGGCTGTCTTAAGAAAATAAATGACTGACCGCATTAGGAACTTGAGAACATGTGTGTTTAGGGTGAAACAGAACATATATCTTTCCCGTGATTGCTATGCAAGTTCCCTTGTGCAGGTATTTAAAAAGCATACATGTAGAATAAACATTGTCAATTTGCGTGTCGAAAATAAATTTTCTAGTACATACGCTGAGCATTCCAATTCTTGTATATGAGTTATGTGCGTTCATGTACCCTTGAACTTGGCTATATTTCATGAATGCTATTTTTGCAACATTCAAAGATTGCTTGGAATCTCTAAATTGGCATTATTGTTTATTATAACAAGGTACGAGTCCTGACAGCGCTGCTTACGATTGCACTATTAAAATTGTTGTCATGGAATGCTTAGATCCTTCGATCGGTCTCTTGGTCTGCCAGAATCTTTCCAAACGGCTCACTTTCAAGACTATCATCCGACGGACGAACAGTGAGAGGGAGAACCCAGCTACAAAATGGGTTTTATCAGTCGCAACATTGCCGTGTGGATATTGTCTGCAGGGCTGTACCGTAAGTAGGACAAACCTTTTCGAAACGATTTAAGTCCATTAACTGCGAATACATTTATTTTACAGAATCTGGTAATATCAGAAGAATTGTTGGACTATCTTAGATTGTCTCTCAAAAGTTAAGATCAAAGCCGAAGTATATAGGCCTAGCCATGTTGTAAAGAGTATTTTAATATCTTAGTAGACAGAAGAGTTTTTATCATTACCAAAAAATACCAGAATGTATAGGTGTATTTTGCAAATTGTACTATTTAATTAAATAGAGCTTTACATTCGAATGTAAATTTAATAAAGAAAGAAAGAATGAATATTTTAGTAGACCCAGAAGAGTATTTTTTTTATCATTACCAAAATGAAACACTCCGAAAAAACATAAGAAGCTGCAGGCTACTTCATGTATCTGTTTCTAATTTCTGACGGTTTTTCAGTAACAATTACAGCCTGACTTGTTAATAACATACACCCATATGAATCGTTTCTTCTTTTTTTATACTGATATCACTTTACAACTCTATGCAGAGAATGCATTGTTTTAACCGTTAAAATACAAGCCGAATACGTGCACTGAGGCAGAAAGTGCAAGATTTACCATTATTTAGTAGGTCCTAATTAGGAAAATCAAAAATTGGCTGGTTTTACATGGGCAAAAACACGCAAAATCTCTCAGAATCAAAAGTACCCACAACAGCTAAGCCCATTATTATTTCTAATCCGTGGTGGTGTGAAATTTTGACTCCTATGAATTACGGACGTGTTGACTGCATCGTGCATTGCTCAGCGAACAGAACACGGAGAACTCACCAATGTATGTGCAGCAAAGATGTCGTATAAGGCTAAAAGGGACCGGATTTCATAGGATTCCGAATTTCATGTGACACCGGCATATGCTAAAACGGCTGGTGAAAAGCCTAATGCACTGATCACAGTCCATTTTTTTATTTGCAGAACTGTGCGTTGGTCATCCAATCAGTGGTGAACCGGATGATTTATCCGAAGTGCTGAAGATGGGAACGCGGGTGATACGCGGACCAGACTGGCGATGGGAAGATCAGGTATGTTCACTTTTATCCGGCACTCATGCATTTTATTGCCATCAAAACATTAATTTAAACCTTGGTTGGAAACTTTTCCTGACAAACATTTATATTTATCTCAGAGGTTGTTCTATTTTAGGTAGCTTGTAATGATTATTCAGTGTTTGAAATAGTTGCCTGCATTATAAAAACAATTATATTCTTTGTTTCTTCTTTAAACTTTTTTGTTTTGTTTTGTTTTGTTTTATTTATTCTGTTTACATTTTTTTTTGACATCTGCCTAGACCCATCATTTGCCATGCCAGCCATCGGTTGGCAAAAACTATTACGTATCACTGGGTCTATGGAAAAGGTGCATTTCATTTTAGGGCATTTGTACATGACCTAGCTACTTCAGTTGCATTATTATTCGAATAAATATATGCTATTGCTATAACTTAGGGCAATACCACCGTGACAGATTAAATACAAAACAAACTGGCCACGTTGAAGTTGCCACTCTCAGAATACCCAATTTACGCTGCAACGACTTTGGGCTTATTAACTCAAATCACAACTCTCTTTGTGAAAGGACGGTAATCCGCCTGGTGAAGGTAGCATGGACAGTGAACTCAGTGGCGGCTGGACTTATGTACAATGGGACACCAGGCACATAAACCATTACAAAATGGGAGCAGACGGGCAGTACGGCCTGAAACTTGTTGAGGATGCGCGTGTTCGTTTGGTGGACGGGGATGACGAACTCAGCGGTCAGGTGGAAATCAACCACGACGGGACCTGGGGGACAGTCTGTGACGTCAACTGGGACATCCAGGATGCCAGGGTCGTCTGTCGTCAGCTCGGCAACTTCTTAGAAGCAGTGGAGATCAAGACGGGATTGTTCTACGGAGAGAGGTAGCAACTCAGATGCAAACAAAACCAAAATGTAAGAACTTAACCTTACCAACTCCATCAAAATCCATCCCCCATTTTTTTTTCGCAGAAAAAGCCACGGTGTACCAAGTCCATCAATATCCACCAGCACCATTTTGTGAAGCAGAGTGAGCGATGGATTTTGACGGATATGGTCTTCTGCTAGGGTTCAAGAGAATCTAAGGAAGAATTAAACTGCATTTTAAAATCATGCCAAATGACTTTTTAAGCACTTTTTTCAAACATGTTTTTCAAAGTTAGATTTTTGATCACAAAGGTGAAATCCTTTACACACACCTCATTTTTCTTTCCACAATGCAGATGAATAATAAAGTATTTTATACGCCTGATCCTTGTGTTATGCCTATGTACATTATTTTGACGTCTGCTTTTTGAATAGCCTGAACAGGTACAGACTGCGTATGTAAATCTGATTTGCCTGTTTTGGGACTGTAATTTTAGACTGCCAATTTCCCTCCCTCTGCTGGTTTTCATGGCGTGACAAATTTTGGCTGACCCTATTAGTCTATTTTCCCCCTCGAATTCTCATTTTCATGTACGTGCCTCTCAAGTTTTTCCCGCCTGCACAAATTTATCGTTTAAAATGGCACATCTACTTCCCCTGCACTTGTCTGTTGGATGTATCATCTAAAGTTGCAACTGATCGACCTTAAGGGAAAATACAACATTTGCAAACATCAAAAAATAAAACTACCAAATCATTTTGAAATACCTTGCTGGACTGTTAGTGAATGACAGTGTAAAGCATCCTGTTAAATCATGGCACCTGGTATGCTGTCATTTTCAAGAAAAGTGTTATTTTTGTACCAATTTCCAAGTTGGAAACAACTGGCTTTTTTTCAAATACTGGCCCCAATTGACCATCGCACTTGTTTGCAATCGATTACACACACTATGAACGGGTACAAGCCAGCTAGACTGGTTCCCTGACCGTACAATTCCCAAATGTATGTAAACTGCTCTGTTTCTTCTTCAATGGAGTCAGGGAACCAGACTACAGGAAAATGATTGTTTTTCTTGGTTTTTATAGCATTTTTGAACCCAAAAACTCAAAAAAGTCAGTGTAACTATATTTGCTATATATTTCCAACCCCCCAATTCCATCCCTTTCTGAAAATTACAGCGAAAGCAAATGATGTATATTCCCTTTAAGTTAACCCAAGAGACGTCAGATAAACAAGAAACTTTGAACTATCAATCAGTGAAAGTAGAACCATTTCCCGGATAGAATCTGCAACACTTGCAACTTCTCAATCAATGTACAAAAATGTCCTACGGTTACTCCACATGCAGCAAATGCTGTCATGTAATTTTGATTCTTGCAGACGAGGAATTGAACTGTGTATAACTTTATTACCAAACTGCGCTGCAGAGCTGAAGTATGACCTACATACAGATGACAGCCTTAGAAAAGATAAAGAATGACATCCTCAAACCAATACCCTTTTCTGTAATTTTAAAGGCAGAGTGACTTTGTAATTGGTGCATTTTTTTTCGTTTGAAGCAACAAAAGTACTTAAATCTTTACAAGGGTGCTTAAAGAGAATGTACATCATTGTTTTTTGCTGTAATTTTCAGAAATGAACTATTTGAAGGAGGAGTATAATGGATCAAATATTGTTACACTGATATGTTTGAAGGTTTTTGTTCGAAAATGCTGGAAAAACCAAGAAAAACAAAAATGTTTAAGTAGGCTGGTTCCCTGACTCCACTGAAATGGATCAAATTCCAGATGCCGGAAAATTGTAAGGTAAGGGAACAAGTCTAGCTGGCATGCACCCGTTCATGAATATGTAACCAATAGCAAACAAATTTTGAACTGAATAAAAAATGGTAAATTTGGAGCAGTAGTTGCAAAATAGTTGGTCGGCCGGTCACCGCTGGAAACGTATACAAAAATATGACTTCACACCAGGTGCCATAACTTTACAGGATGCTTTTGACTGTCATTTACCAACATCCTAGTAAGGTATTTCGGAAAAAACTTGGTAGTTTTATTTTTCGATGTTTGCAAATGTTGTATATTCCCTTTAACTAATCTGATAAAGTTTATAGCTCAGTGAATACTGTATATTCCGAGAAAAAAATATTCTAGGAACTCGATTTCAATTCAAAAATTGACAAGTCATATTTTGAATTGCGCTCGAAATCAGAGTCGGGGACACGTTCTCATTCAGCCGTTTGCAGCGACACGATGTCACGCACTGAACCAATGAATAATAGCAACTACGCGCGCCTGTGCGTCGAGTCATCACTTGCGCGCATCCATTCACGGATTCCCCCAATCACTAAACCAACTACTAACGGAAATTTCCAAAAATGTGTCAATTGACACATCTTTAAGATTTACCTTGTTTAATTGTGTTCTTAAAATGAAAGCATGCCAGAAGGAATAATTTTACTGGGGTTTAGTTCAATTACTACCTTTAAACCAAGAAGCTTTTTAACAGTAATTTGGTCTGTCACTTTTTGGATAGCTGCAAATAGTTGACTCTACCTTTAAATCTCTTTCCCAGCATGCTAGAGAACATAACCTTCATCTACCAGATATAGGAAAAGATTTCCCAAATGTGCATGGGCGTCGGGAGGGGGGCCCTCCCCCCCCCCCGGAAAAGCAACAACAAAAAAGTCAAAGTAGTGTAAATTTAATGGGAATGTCCAGTGTTGTAGTCGAGTACTTTTTTTCC